ACCAGAGTTGTATTTAAAGTGTTTACCCTGAGGTAAAATTGTAACAAGGCTATGGACATTTAAAGAGAAATAAGGCAAAACAGTTTTTGCATTTTGGAAAGCATAAGAAAGGGTTATAACCCCTGTTAGGTTTATTTTGTCATATGTGGCTTATTGTTGAGATTTCCCTTCACTTCCTGTCCCATAGCCAAAATAGGAAATGAAACGTATGGAAAATCCCTTCAAAGTGAGGGAATCCCTGGTTATCACTAGGGTTACCTGAGCTAGTGTCCTCAATGGACGATATCTCCTCTATTACTCTGATGGGGACAACCCAAAATGTGGGGTTTTAGTTTACTTTCAATTTTGATGGTAACGGTAAACATGACACGCAGAGAGAAATAATCTCCCTAATTGGGACACATGCAGCATTAAAATCTGACAGGTGTTTTAATCCTTCTCCACTCTATCTATAGCTAAAAAAAAAAGGTTTTGCCTTTATTTATACTTTAAGTCAAATAATTTCACCTGTTGCCACATGGAGGAACCCAACAATTTAGCTCTCCCATGCAGCCTTGGAGCTCAGCTTTTGGACCTTATGTACAGATGTGCAAAATACATCAAGGCACTTTAGAGATGACTGCTGTATACTAATAAAACTTGCTGCATTTCAAAGTGCCTGTAGCATTGGAATACTCTTGTTGTATCATGTATGAGCATTAAATAAGCTTTAACCATTTGCCAACGTCCTTTAGCAGATATATTGCTACAGGGCAGCCACGCTGTGCATAATCACGTATATAAACATGATTCTGCACTTCCTGGGCACGGGTGTGCGTGTGCGACACCGGCGCGCCACTTCTGCTGTGATTGGTCACAGCATAAACTGGTCAGAGGGTACCGGCCATTGGATGAGCGCTGGCAGCTGTAGACCAGCTAGGAAACTGACAGAACACAGCTCTGCCTATGTAAATAAGGTAGACTTGTGTTCCATCAGCGGCAATGTGCTGGATTCTCTTTTCCTGGAAGCAGGGAATAGAATCCAGTACATTACCTAGTGAAAACAGCACACACAGTAAACATTACACATAGCTAGGCACACAGTTAATCCCTTCATCACGGTAGATGTTTAACCCCTTCCCAGCCAGTGCCATTAGTACAGTATTAGTGCATATTTTTGGCACTGATCACTATTAGTGTCACTGGTTCCCACAAAGTGCCATTTAGTGTCAGTTAGTATCCGACTGTCCACCACAACATTGCAGTCCCGCTATAAGTTGCTGATCGCCGCCATTACTAGCATTAAAAAAAAGTTTGTAGACGCTATAACTTTTGCACAAGCCAATCAATATATACAGTAATTATTGGGATTTTTTTTACTAAACATATGTAGCAGAATACATATTGGCCTAAATTTTTGAAGCCATTTGATTTTTCAAATTTTTATCGGATATGTTTTATAGCAGAAAGTAAAAAATTGTTTCTGTTTTCAAAATTTTCAGTCTTTTTTTGGTTATAGCGCAAAAAATAAAAAATCTAGAGGTGATCAAATACCACCAAAAGAAAGCTCTATTTGTTGGGAAAAAAAAATAAGAAATATAGTTTTGTTTATGTACAGCATTGCATGACTGCACAATTATCAGTTAAAATAACACAGTGCTGTATTACAAAAAATAGCCTGGTTTGGGAGGGGGATAAATCTTCCGAAGGTGAAGTGGTTAAAACAAGCTCTCACTGACCACTGTAGCTGCAAGCATTGTGGAGCAATTTGTCCTACAAATATTCAATATAAAACACTTTAATTTTTATTTCAGCAACGTAGCTCACACTGCTCAGCCTTCCAGCCATACAGTTCAGCCCCTTTCTGTGCATTTTTTACCTGTGATTACACGGATCTAAAATGGACTGCAATATTTTCCTATGGGTGGCGGGATATGACCGGAAATCTGCTTGCCTATATCTGCCCACATCTGGGTCTGTTCAGGTTCAATGGACCAAACAGAACATGTTTCTACTTTTCCTGACCTGGCCAGATGTTGGCAGATATAGACAGACTCACATCTGCTTACATTGATGTAACGCCTTCTAGGGTAGTTGCCTGGGTATGAGTCAGCCTGGGAGTGAGTCAGCGAGGGTACTTCAGGTTAAGGCTGAAAGGCTCTGTAGGTCAGTTCTCTGATACCTCAACCTGCTCTATAAACTTGTATCTAGAAGCAGTTGGCGGTGGCGAGGAGGGATTGATCTGCATTCTTAGTGGAATCTGGTCAATTCCCAGGCAGGAGGTCTGGTATGGTGGCTAAACCAGTCCAAAATATGAGAGAGCCTGGTAAGCAGAGAAGTCGGGTTGAAGGTGGTGTGAAGAAGTGCTGCTGGTGTGGAGTCTGGGAGGGGTCCCCAGAAGAGGGGGGTCTTCCTACAGGCTGAAGCTGGACAGAAGGACCTCCACTGTCCCATAGTCTACTGGGGAGAAACAGCCTGCCAGCAGGGAAGGAGGTAGCCCAGCATAAGGCCTGAAAACAGCTTCAACCTAAAAGTTACAGGAACAGGACAGTGTAAATACTTACACCCCCCCCCAGGCCAAAAAGGGAAAGGGCAGTCAGGTACAATACCTAACTAGTTCTCCCTGGGACTATATTTTTTGTGTGTCTCAGAATCAATTGCCCTGGGATACTCTCAAGACAGCCAGGTCTGAGCAGGTTCATTTAAAGGGAACAAGTGCTCCTTGCAAAGACTGTGTGCTAATCTGTAAGAACAGAAGTGCCACTCCTGAAAGAGTAGAGAGCCTAGGATCCATTTTGTGCTGTTTCCTGGATTCTTGCCATTTTGCCTAAGAAGTTTGTCCTAGAAGTTGTTCAGTTCCATTGGGTATCCGATATACCCCTAGACCCCATCCAAGTTGTTAACCCCTAATATACCAACAAAAACTAAGCTCATGGATTGTTTACCGACTTTAGATGAAAGCGTGGAAAATACGTGTTGCCTGTCTGTGCAGAGCTTAGGGGGACCCAAAACCTCAACAGCCCTTAAGAGGGTAGTGCTGCATTCAGATACCCTTAGGTATTGCCTGGGTCCCTTTGTCACAAGATGGAATAAAAATCGGAACAGACACAGATGTCACATATGAGACATTTGTTTCTGATCTGACTTGGCAGGGGATCAGTCTAAAATCCTCTGCTGAGACAAAATGCAAGGCACCTGTGTGAAAAGGGCCTAAACTATATATAGAGCAGTTGCATGGGAAAAGGGGTGAGCATAATGCTGAGAGCAGACTTGAACTGCCTCATTGCTTCCTTAATAACGTTTGAAGATGACTTGTTCTATAGTGCCTGTTACTACATAGGTCAGTGAGGGTTTGGTTTAAAGCTTTTTTGCTGCTTGTTAAAAATATTTAAACATTTTAATGTCCATTGCTTAGCCACACTTCTGCAGACTGGGACAGAGAATACTCAGGAGTGACCTTGGGAATCCAGTCTACCCTGGGCCTTCTGTCTATGGGAAAGGTGTGTATGATCCCCCTGAGCCTGCTGCCCTAGAAAGGTGATCAGGTGAACTTCTGTCTGAATTCTGAGAGGCTGGGTGAAGCTGTGTCCTTAACTGAAGTGTGAGGACCTTTCCCCAAGGAATCTGTAGCTGAACCAACAACTGTCTTGCAGTGAGGAGCTGATTCCACTGAATGTTGGGTTGGCTTAAAAGCCATCTGTGAGGACTGTAAATACTTTTTGTTCCTTACCTGTAGTCTACATAATCCATGGGTGTCCCATGCCCTAACACTCTCTTCCAGGAGTGCTGAGTGAGAGTCAATAAACACAATTTGTTGCACCTAAAAGTGACTTAACAAGCGATTATGTGGTCAATTTCAATTTATTTCCTCATTTTTTGTTTGTTGCTAAAAGTGACTGAAGCCCACCTGTGCTCATTGTTCCCCTATTACTAAGGACTAGGCCCTAAGGTGAAAGACTAGCCTCCCCCCCACCCCGACAGTCCCTGGTGATCCCACGCTTTAGGAAGTGACAGAGGTGCTGCAAACACATATTTAAAAAAATATTGAAATGATCTATACATTTCTTTTAAGTGATTAAAAATATTAAATACTCCATCATTGTGCTGTTTGCAGGAAAGCTTGTCCTAAAGGCTTTCACTTCTTTAAATACAAAATTCTTTCTCATGTTTAATTTAACGTTTTCACAGTTCCATCATTTTGTTTGAAATTGTCTCCTTGCCAGCAAATAAAGAGCTGAGAATCAGCAATTTGAATGAACAATGTGTGAGAAGTGACCTACTGCACCTTACTGTATTGCCATTTACCTACTTTAATCTCCTTAAAATCAAAGAGAGGTTGTGAAGCCAGGGGGCAATGCCAGGAAAGATACACTTTATGTAAATAAAGATAGAAAGGAACATGCTCTTCTCAATAATTCTCTTTTTATAGTAAAAGTGCTAAATATACGGTTGCACTGTGACCTGAGCACACAACTTTGGATGACTGTGTTGAATTCTGTTTTAGCAAGTCATAGTATCACACTGCATGCCATCTATAATGGAAGTACTATAGTAAAAAAGGGTTATGAAAAAATATTTAGGATTGTATAAAACATAGCAAAATTTAAACATAGAAAATGTGTTAAGTAATCACTGCAGATTAAATCTGCTGCATTGCTCCTCTGGATCTGGAGAGAAAGGTACAGTTTGTCTATGGACAATTTTTTCTTGCATATATGAATGGTTCCTAAAGTTTTTCTATAGGACAAATATATCTCAGCCCCTCATTCTTCTACAAGAATGCCGCTTTTGGGCCCTGTTCAAATATCACATAGTGTAAACGAGAGTTCCTGCTTGCGATTTTTAAAGTGCAATTTACACTTGTTTTCTTTCACATAAATGGGCTGCCCAGTGCATGTTTGTCACCCAAAGGAAGCTTCTGCTCCTTTTTGGGCTATAAGCTTTGCATGATTTTTTAAAAGTGCTTTTTGTGGCACAATTCTGTCGCAAGACAATAGTTGCAAAGTTGCACCACATTTGGAGTGCCATTAGAAGTAATGGCTCCCAAGTGTGTGTTGTGCATCTTTCCGTGATTTGGAATCGCGAACAGAATCACTGCGAATTTGCTGGTGGTTCCAAATCACCATGCTGTCATGCTGAAAGCTCGAGAGGAGAGGAGAGCCGGTAATTGGCATCCCTCAGAGGGGACATGTACACTGATCATCAGGGCACTGATAATCAGTGTGCCCTGATGATCTGTGTATCCCCAGCAGTGCTACCTGTCAGTGTCCATCAGTGCCAGCTGTCAGTGCTCATCCATGCCACCTGCCAGTGCCCATCACTGCCACATCAGTGCCTACCAGTGCACATCAATGCCACATATCAGTGCCCATCTGAGCTGCCTTTCAGTGTCACCCATCAGTGCCATTCCGTGCCAGCTATCAATGCCAGTCAGTGGCACCTATCAGTGCTGCCAATCAGTGCCACCTATCAGTGCCAGTCAGTGTCGCCTATCAGTGTGCATCAGTGCCGCCAATCAGTGCCCATCAGTGCTGCCTATCAGTGCTGCCTAACAGTGCGAGTCAGTGCCACCAAACAGTGCCAGTCAGTGCTGCCTATCAGTGCCAGTCAGTGCCGCCTATCAGTGCTGCCTATCAGTGCCATATATGAGTGCTGCCTTTCAGTGCCCATCAGTGATGCCTTTCAGTGCCCATCAGTGCCACCTACCAGTGCCTCCTCATCAGTGCCACCTATCAGTGTCCATCAGTGCAGCCTATCATTGCCCATCACTACAGCCTCATTAGCGCACAATAGTGAAGGAGAAAAAAATCACTTATTTACAAAATTTTATAAAAAAACTAAGAAAAAACTTTTTTTTTTTTCAAAATTTTCAGTGGTTTTTGGCTTATTTAAGAAAAAATAAAAAACCCAGAGGGGATTAAATACCACCAAAAGAAAGCTCTATCTGTCAAAAAAAAATGATAAAAATTTCATATGGGTACAGTGTTGCATGACCACGCAATTGTCATTCAAAATGCAACAGCGCTGAAAGCTGGAAATTGGCCTGGGCAGGAAGGGAGTATAAGTGCCCTGTAGGCTAGTGGTTAAAAAATAATATTTACAATCACCTTAAGTTTTATGCTGGAAATCTGTCAATCCTGCAAATTTTTAAAGGCATATTTATTGGTGTAGAGTGTTGTACTATGTCAGTGATTGATTTATGCAGAAAGTTTGAAGTTTTAGTGATACCCTTTGTAGGCTAACTAGAGTTATTAACAATGCAAGCTTTTGGGATAACTTAGATCCCTTCATCATTTCACATTGAGAAATGTAGAAAGGTTGACAAAGGGATCTGAGTTATCTCAAAAGCTTGCATCTTTCATATTTCAAGTTTGCCATTAAAAGATATCACTTAAACTTCAAATATTTAGGCCTATTTAGTAAAACAGTACAAGGAGTAAGTTGTTATGTCATCTGGGAAAAAGATACCAGCCTTCAGATTCCTTCCATAATACAAACATTGGCAACAAGTCCCATTTTATTACCCAGTAAAGTAAAATATCACTCACATGAGAATGCTATAAAGGAACAAAGTGCTAAAGAGAATCTGAGTACTGATAGCTGTTCCCAAACAACCAAACATAGCCAAAATGATTATTGACCAGTGTTGCCTATAGGCTCCCTGCAGCAGCAGAGATGCAAAAATACAGATCTGCAGAATGAAAAGAACATAAGCAGGGAGATTCTTGTACTGAAAGTTCTCAGGTACAGCTTTCTCTCCAGCAAGTAGAACCATGATCAGAACAGTAATGCCATCACTAAATCTCACTCCAACTCCCCTGAGAATAACAGCCAGAGACACAGTGACTTAGGTGATCTCAGATTGTAGATATACAGTTACAAGGCTTAATGCACAGCAAGTGCACTGCGGTTTTCAGGAGGAATTCAAGAATGTCACAGCTGTTTTGGTGATTATGAAAACAGGCCATCTGGAATCACACTGATTCATTCCTGATTACTCATAGAGGTCTGGAGCTCTCACTTGACAGTGGGGTCTGAGAACTAGAAATTAACTCAGATGGACATTCCTACTATGCAGTGTTACTGAGAATGCAACATTTTATTTATTCTCAAGATGGCAGCATTCAGCACTTTTACTTGCTATAGCCTAATTACAGGTAGAGGCTTCTGGGAGTTGTAGGCTGAAATCAGAACTTTCCACACAGTAAAGTTGAAGTTAAAGGCAGGAGGATATAAAAGAAAATGCTTGGGCAGACACAGGGGGAGTTCGAGAAAAACATTGCAAGTTGAAGGAGTGTGTGAGAGTTTGTGCCGAGCCTGCTCCAGCCCAGAGCAGATTTAACTGGAGCCAACAGTATAGCTGGGGAAGCTGAAAAGGAGACTGTTAAACTGGACACCATGAATGGAGGGCTGTTCTGGGAAGACCTGTCAGCTGCAGGAGTGAGTGAGTGGCGGCCACCATAGCCACATCCTCAGTTGATGGGTGTCTCCCACTGCAAGACAACTGTCGCTTCTCTCGATTGTCACAGAAAGACCGGGTGATAGGTTCACTGAACCAAGCATCATTGCTACCAGCTACATTTAGTTCTTGTTGCCAGCCATACTTGTCCAGGTTATAATCATTCTTCAACACTGGCCTTTTATTAGAGGCTAATTTACCATTGCCCTTTTATCTGCAAGCTGCCATTTTTTTGTCTGCCATCGTGGTCCCTGCCCACAGGTTGATGTACTGAGTTAACCCTTTGCTCCCTGCTGGGCAGAATGTTTTCCCAGTAGCTGCATCAGCTTCAGGCCTTTTAAATAGAGTGCTTCTGCTGCTTAAGTTAAAGCTCCCCTTTTAAAGTGAATCACGCCCACAATTCTAACACCTCAAGTGACTCTGGCTAACAACTCTATAGCTTAAAGTGATCTGTGCCAACAACTTAATATCTTAAAGAAAACTGTGCCAAAAGTGTTCTCTCTTGAAGGGAACCATCCTGTTCATTCCACATCTTATAGAGACAGCACTTTGCATTGCACACCAAGGGCCCCAACTAAGCTAGCAGAAGAATCAACCTTCAGATTGTGTTATACTCAGGATCTAGCCATTGAACAGAACTGGTGTGCAGGAGGTCTAACAGATTTTCTTCAGGCCCAAAACCTAGACTCTCCAGACTGAGGACTTACAAATGAGCTGGCCAGTTTGATCCCTTGCTATTTATATATGTCTCATTTGGGGAATGGGGCAATCTCCCAGTCAGAAGGCGATTGTTTATGCCTTTGGTCCTGCGAGCATAGGCGGCCACACCTTAAAGGGTATTTGACTGTACTGTCACTGTGTTGATTCACTGTGTCTTTCAGTTAACCTTTAAATGGTTGCATTGCTTTTCCATTTTATTGCTGCCTATACAACCTGGTCATTGTTTATTACAGCTAGTGTGTATCTTACCTGTGTGACTGCGGGGAGATCTCCCTGACCAAGGTATTTTGGTGGTATCAGCAGAAGTGGAACTCCGAAGGAAAGAGCAGAAGACCCAAATCTATTGGCAGCTCCCTTAGGGTACCATTACAACCAGAACATAAATTACCATAGCACAGGGCATTGTGTCTGGGGATGTTAATGGCCATGCTGGAGATGCCATTTGGAAAAAAAAAGTTAGTTATATAAAAGTTATAACTATATTTATCCAAACAGAACATGCTCTTTAATTGCTTCGACTTCTCTAATCTAGTGAGAAGAAAAATCTGGTTGCTCTGGCTAACTTGGCAAATGATTATTGTTTTTTGTACTGTAGTATTGAAGAAAGCTGATTATTGTTGATAAGGCTGTACCAGAATAGAGCCTTTTCCTGAGTAACTGTGGCTTGTTATGACCTTACATTCAATCATCTTGTTTGCCCACGGAGTCCGAACAGCTAAGGGAGGGCCACCTAATATATGAGTCTGCAGCATGAACTGTTATCTGGTAATGAAATAAAGCCAACACTATTGTAATTACTGCTCTGTTTTGTATATAATCTGCAATATAATTATTATTCAATTTTTATATTCCCAGACAAACCCTATACATGAAAATAATTACCCTTAATATACTTAATTTTCTCATGCTCTGTATAGCTTAATTAAAATATATTGGTATTAAACAGTGGGTACTGTTTCATAAATGGTCTTGTGTTATTATGTAATGTGTTATGATGTTATGATTAGTTTTGGAAGAAAAAAAGGCTCCTCATGGAATTTCTTGTACCTAAAGAAACAATTATTGCCGGTTAACACCAGACCTTTCTAAACTCCATGTCATCTCATTATACTCTACTGACTGATGGTGGATATGGATTGTTAAACACAGATCTTTTGTGCTTCATGTTCACACAGCAGGTGCTTTAATGGGGTATACAAATGAAGGAAAAGATCTAGTATTAAGAGAGTATTACTCATAAATCTTCTATGATATCACTTTAAAGAGCAACTTCAGAAAAGGTTGTTAAACTGCTAAGATTACCCAGGAAAAACTGTAGCTGTGAAAATGTCAGCAAACTTGTCCACATCTTATCATAAAGTAGAGCTAAACCTAATCAATACATCTCAGACCTAATCACATCTCATCTAATTTCAAAAATTACATTCAAAATTTCAAACTCAAAATTTCAACATTGAAAAATTACCTGGTGATCCTTCCATAAGTGAACTTGTCAAGGCACTTTCTGTTGGTGGATAACAGTACTCTGTCGCTGTTTTCCAGCTGTGCTCCTGAATTGTCAACCTGTGACATGTGCCCCTGGTGTAGTACAGGCAACCTGTAGGCAGGTGCAGTCTCTGTTCTCCACTGTGGATAGCACTCGGTGGCACTCAGCTGCAGCTGGAGAGGAAGTCAAGAGAATCCGGTTTCTCTATGGTTTCCTTGGTCTCCTAGGCAGCGTTATGGTTGGCCATGTTGCATCCAGGTGACCCTAGTGGTCACCTTTGGTTAGCTGAGCCTTTTTAAGTGCCTGCCACCAAGCTTTGACAGCTTTTTGGTGAGTTGATAGCATAGGGATAGTTCATCTATCTATCTGTCATGTAGAGTGAACAGTGAGAGGGAAAGGTTTCGGATGAGTAGGGACAGGCTAGGGACACACTAACATACATCTGAATCCTCCCCATTGAGCTCAGACCGGCCAGGCTGCATTCCACGCTCAGAAAGAGATACTGTCAGTGCATCAGAATTTATTCAATCCACAAGTCTGCACAAAATTGTGATTGTTCCCAGCTAGGTGCCTTCCTGCTGGGCTGTTTGTAAATTTGGGTCATTTCATCAAAACAAGTTTTGTTATCTCAACTGGACTCACTGCCTCCTCACCATGCTGCACCTACCCACAAGCTGTACCAAAACACAGTGCACAACAAGCATGTAGACAGAGAAAGACATGTAGAAAGAGAGCTGAATAAGCTGAAGGATGGTCTCATCCAGGGGCGGACCTACAACTCATGGGGCCCCCGGGCAATAGGGGATCATGGGGCCTCTGTGTCCTTGCCCAA